TACCCAAATTTAAATTTACTAGAATTCAATGTAAAATTGTACTCCATTTCTGTATTTATAAGAGTTATATTGTTTTTAAAGAACAAGTATATAAGCAAACGGTGGGTATTCCAATGGGAACAAACTTCCTTTCAAATATGACCAATCTGTATCTGTTCTTTTATGAAAGCTCATTTATGAAGCAGACTTTAAATCCTAACTTATACATTTACACTCTCTGTTACAAAGATGGTTTAATATCTATAAATAATATGAATTTTGCACCAAACCTAATATATACAACAGAACTTACAATAGAAAAAAGTAATGATAATACTGAGGTCCATGCTAATTATTTAGATTTGGACATTACTTTTATAGAAGGTACAATGAGGTTGGCTATTTTTGATAAAAGAAGGGAACTTGTATTTTCCAGTTCTTGGTCTACCCACAACTAATAGTGTTATTCTGTGTATGAAGTTGAAAGGTATTATTATATCTCAACTCAAACAGTTTTTCATAGTCTATAGTAACTAATTTTTTATGGATAATAATTTATTATTCAAAAATAAACTGAAAGATAATGGTTATAAAGACAGACAATTAAAGAAATACCTTACTTTATCTTTTAATAAATACAAAAATACTTTAGAAACTAAACTATCAATTCAGGAAAATATCTTATAAAAAATAAATAAAATAAAGAGGGAGTTAGTTACTTTAGCTTATAAGTAGCTAATAGTAATTTTTCAAGTAATTTTATTCTGTATAACTGGGATGAAAAGACTAACTTCAAGTAGCTGGGCTTGTCTCGGCATTTCCGTGTTTTTACTTGAATAAATCTTCAGGAGAAAGGGAGGTGGTTGGGAGTTAGAACTATATAAGAACTTTTAATGTAGGGTGTATAGTTCTATATAGTTCTATTCAATATTTTATAGTCCTATTTAATATCTTTTTGTAAAGTTGAAGGTTGGGAGTTTAATTAGTAGAAATATTAGGGTGGCTTTATTTCAATTCATTTCTACTTTAAGAAATTTAAGTGTAACTGCCTTCTCACCACTGGCTTTAGACAGTGAAAGGCAGTAGAAGTTGAGATGTTGTGGGTGTAAGCACTCAGCTTCGTACCCTTATTTGTTTTATTTATTTTTTATTTTCCATGATGGCTTACTAGATTGACATCGATGTTTGGATTTTGTCTGATAGATGGGATATCCCCAATGCATTTAGGTGCTATCACTACAGACATTATCTGTTATGACAATAAGTTGACAACCGGGACCAATAACGATATTACTATGTATGTGTGTGTGTGTGTGTGTGCGTGCGTATATATATATATATATATATATACACACACATTTTTACTCACACTTACTCTCTGACCTTCCCACTTCTGGTGTAGGTTTTGAATGTACTGCCCAGTTTCAAAGTGATTACAGGCCACACGGAAGAGAGGGTGCTAGTGACGATAGGAATTGTGTCGCACTCCTATTGGTGGAGGGTTGTGGCATGATCGTTTGCATGAGAGCATGCACATGCTTCACATGAATACATGTGAGGGTAGGTGAGAGTATCAAGGCTAGTGTTGAGAAAATATTTGTGCATATAGAAGGTAGTATAAATCAAGAAAAGCTATTTGTGAGAGGAGGTAAGTATCTGCTGAAAATACATTTTCAGTGTGGGAAAATGTTAAATTTCATCTTACAGTTTCCCTATTTCAATTGTATAACCTCTAGAACTTCCTAAGTGAATATCAAAAGACTTTTTCAGTAAAACTTTCTCTTGTATTTCTCTACCTTAACACTAACTATATTAAAATCATCAATATATAGTGAAATGAAAAGTTTAAGAATATGAAATAAAATCAAAAATACCTCTCTCTTTTTTTTTTCTTCTAGAATGACTGGAAATTATAACAGACAATTACAATTATGTATCTTAATGGCCTCAGCTTCTAACCTTTACACATCTGCTTCATTTTATTTTTATTGCTTTGCAGTGCCTTTAGTCTCTCACAGTATGTGAAAATAGACAATAGACCATAGCAATAAAGTTTAGGGTAAACAAATGGATCAAGTTAGCACCATTTGACCTCAAATCACATGAATTCCACATTTAACTTTTGTTATCTAATCTAATAAGTTTTTAATTTTTACATTTCAACTAGTTTATTTAAAAAATATAACAATAAATAAAAATATAAATAAAAAAACAAGAACTTTTGGACTTATTTCAGTGTTGTGGCCCTATTTTTACATGGGAACAGGTTTTGAAAAGTACTTTTTTCATACTGTGTTGGTTGTTTACAAAATAATTCATGTTGCTTTCAAATATGCATTTTAGAGCCCAAAAATATATCAGTCATAACTACTATAATTTAACTGGCTTTCTAACTAAACTATATATAGGTTAAAAATTTCTGTTAGCTACTTGGAGCTAAATGACAATGATTGCACACAGTGAATCTCAAGCTTAACTGTCTACTTGGCCACTTAAATGAACTAAACTTATAGTGAATCTTTAAAGAAATAATGTTCTTTCTGTTGGCTATAAACATGTCCAATAGCAACTTTGGAGAGAATTATAGACATGTCTTGAGTGATAGAAATGGATGGGAAGGACATGTCATATGGGTGGAACAAATAGTGATATCTCAATAAAACAAGAAGATCAGCTATTAAAATGTTATATTCTGGCTCTATAATATGTGTATGTGTGTTTGTGATAAGTTGAACATTGAAATCCAAATAAGGAAAGAAAGTCTATAAACAAAAAGTCAAATGTCAAGTGCATTGGGTGACATAGAAGTGAAGATTGAGGACTTATTTGAATATTTCCTTGTGAAGCTAAGAAATTAAAACTTAGTTAATAAAAACTACATTTTTGATGCTAAGCTGATTGACATACATTGGTAATAAAGTAGTTTAATTAAATTTTGAGGGTAACTCAAAAGTAGGTTGTGACATGCAATTTGACCCTGATCAAGCTTATATACATATAGGGTGAGTGAAGAGAATATAATACACAGTTAATTATAGCCAGTACAACTATATATTTAATTGAAGATTCAAGGTTTTTTCTACTTACATATATAGATACTTCATCCTTTTCACAAACTAATTGTTCATTGTACACAAAAAGTTCTCCCCAAGTTTCTGTATGTTGAGAGTATAAATTAACATTTCATAATATAATATAATTTTTAGGGACAACAAGGGACCTATTGGTCCATCTAGGCTTTCCCCTTCTCTAAATCAAACTAAAACTATTAAATAAAAATCAAACCTCAAAGCTATCCCTTATGAATATAAAGCAGATTTAACATATATTTTTGGTACTTAATAGAATTAATTAAAGTAATAACAGTTTTGTTCTTACAGAGTGGTATGTGTATTATTGTTGAAGACATGAGATTTTACTTAGCATATAACCATTTTTTACTTTGTCTTGTCATATATTTTTCAACATTATCTATTAACTTGTCAGATTTATGAAATTGTTTGTATATACTGTATATACTTTTTTAGAGACAATTAGAGCCTTTTATATGGACTTGTAAAAATTATTATGTAGACAAGCCCATTGTTTTGCTACAATAATCTGCTATCATAACTTACATACGAAGTAGTTTGAAAACTTGTATTATTTCACACCTGATTCTGTATTTTTCTTGTCAAAATATTATGGGAATTGAGTTAGTATTATTGCTCAGAAATTGTTGTCTTTCTAATGTGTTTTGGAATTTAAATGTTTTACCTGAACAAGATCACTTGAAAACTGAATATTTATCACCTATCGAAGATGTCATGAGATCTGAATGTGTCACTTAACCAAGGTGCCTTAACAACTAAATGTATCACTTTATCAAGGTACTTGAGAAATTAGATATTTGTCACCTTATTAAAATGGTTTGAGAACTGAAAATGTGCTACCATACTAAGGTGTTTTGAATGTACAAGATCACAGAGCTTTCGATCGTTAAAAACCTAAGGGCACTGTGCTGAAAACCATGACAACATACACAATCTGTAACTTATGGAAAGACTTTTAAACTATTTTTCAAAGTGAGATTTGAATAAATATGATGTTTTCCTGTGATAAGAGTATCAAGGTCAGAAATGTAGTGTGTATCACACTACTTCTCCAGTTTTTCATTCTTTGTAGGTTGTATTGCAGTATGAATCAACTGATATAAAGTTACTAGTATCCTATTACTTTAAAAATATCACTACTTTATATCTGTATTTGTACTGGATCTAATTTCTTTCGTTGCCATCAGTGTTGTTTCAAAGTTCACATAATTTATTTCTTCAGAAATTTTAAAAATTGATTGAAATTTGAATTATTACTAACATTCATTAAAATAAAAATTGTATGCTTTTAATGCCAAGCACACATGGTGGGGGAAAACAAGGATATGTAAAAATATTAATATAGTGTATTGTCTTTTGACTTTATAAACAGATACTAGATCTGAAGAATGTGAATGAAGTTTGATGTAACAGCTCATTTTTTCATGTGTATCATTTACAGTACTTAATAGTAATTTTTAACAGTACTTACAAATCAGATTTGAGTTGTTTTTTTTATATTTCATAATTTTAAAGTAGTAAGTCATCATTAAGTATTTGGTTAGAAATTAAAAATTGGCTTACTTTGATGCTAAAGTTTTCCTGGGGGATTAGCTCTTCTCGAGAAAAAAAAATACATCTAAAAAAAAGTATTAAGAAGGTATCAGAAATGTTGATTCAGTAGTATAAAAAAGAAAAGAAAAACAAACAGAATAAGGTTTAACCGCAGTTAGAGTAAGGTTTATTCTAAATTCTTCTGTATGGTATTCATCATTATTTTTTTTTACAGATATCTTTCTTACAGTGGTAAACAAGTGTGAATTTATATCACTACGTGTAGAACAACTTCTTGTTTCTGTTATTTTTAACTGATTTAAGAGTGATTAAAATAAATGTTTAACAAAATGTGTTGAAGAAAATTATTTATTATGGAATCTTTTTGTTACACAGACAAATTTGCCTGTCTTTAAAATGAAGGAATCAAGTGTAAGAAGACGCTATAGTGACTTTGAGTGGCTGAGGAATGAACTAGAGAGAGACAGCAAGGTAAAAATGCATAAAATTTCATGTTTTTACTTTTATAATTCTATATACATGGAAGTTCTGCTTTGTTAAATTCATATTTATATAGGAGTACTTTAGATTAAAACAGATTTGAATATAAAAATCAGCAAGTCATGTGACAGCCATATTTAATATAAAATCATAGTAGAACAGAATGTATCAAAACTACATTTTGACATTGTTTGGCATTTCTAAGGCAGTCTGGTGCCACAAAAAATTTAATGCTTTTGCATAGTGTATGTAACAGTCCTTTCTAAAACAAAATATTCATCAACTCAGATCATAAATGTGTGTTAATATCGGGGATTTAGAATTTCCCAGGATGGGAATATCCATTATACTTAATGGCATTGGAAAACGAAGGAATGTGTATCAACTTGGGGCACTAGGAACATCCAGAAATAGATCTGCAAAAGTTGAACCCCAGCCGAGGTAAACAAAGTGCAGTATCTTGTAACAGGTTACTGGCTTTCATGAAGGTAAGGCTTCTAGTCTTATTTCCCATTCAACTATCACACCTCAGGCAGCTGGAGAATGAAATGGGTATTTGTGGTAATTCATACAAATATACCATTCAGTTTTCTGGATGCAGCACCTATGGATTTGTGTGTGATTAGACTGTTGAAATCAGTGCTCATAAATCATCATTCTAGATGGATTATTGAAAGTCTACAAGGAAGACTAGTGTGCTTTGGTCATGAAGCCATTTAAGGGAGTTTTTTTACAATGGAAACTACACAGCAGGGTTATTAGAAAATGCACTGTCATTAGATAAAGCATGACCAGATATGGCGACATGGACTGCAACAATATGATGAGGCTCTAAATTTATTTTAACACAATGTAGAAGAGAAGAGTAAGAAAAAATCTTATATTCTAGTTGTTATTTTGAGAGACCAAATAAAGAATGTGGTGCTTAAAAATTCTTTTGTCTTGTGACAAGTATAATCTGTTATAATCATGCTTCACTAGCAAAAGGCATTTATGCCATAATTAACATTATGTACATGAACTAATACTTTCCTCTCTGTAAAGCATGTTCATTTACGAGGAGAATGGACTGATGAGTGAGGGCACTTTAAAGTGATGCATGTATATAATCATGAATATTTTTGTTGATATTGGTATACTACACCTTAATCATATTTTAAAAAACAGCTAATTCTTGAATTTTATTTAAACTATAATAACTTAATCCATAAAAGTGGAATATTTCATTGGCAGAAATGATGTGCGATGTTAATTTCAAAGCTACAGTACATACATGTTAGAAGACTTTTTCAAAAATGCTACTTGTTAGGTCAGTGGGATTTTAATATTTTATAGCTGATGAGTGATCCTGATGAATCAACTGGTCTTATTTTATCTACATACTTGTAATGTGTAAAATACAAGTACTGCACTTGCTTCTAAGAAGGATTTTGTGAATGTGTTGGACCTAAATTTAGTAAAATAATGAAAGGGATTATATGTATTCTTAAAGACTGAAACTGTAACGTGTTTTGTTTTTAGAGTAATATGAGTTATAATATTTAGTTACATATAAAAAAAAATTCATATAATGCTGTTAGGAAAAATATAGAATTTAAAATTTAAAGCTTAACAAAAAATATGCTTCTCTAACAGTATCTGACCTATCCCACAATTATTCATAGACAAACCCCCAATACTTATTAACAATATTTTGCTATTTACTAGCAAAGCATGCATACAGGAAATATCAAATTTTGTGAATATTCTTTCTCAGGAAAATACCGTATTACAGTAACCAAAAGTTTTTGTTGTTAGATTATTTTCTGTGTCCTTTCTTTTCATTTATCACTTCGTTTAGTGTTAGTTACATTTTGGAATATTTTATTCATTACCTTGACATGAATTTGTAACAGGCTAATTCTCGAGTGTAAAAAATACTGCATATAGTTTAGTAATTTGAAAGTTTTATATTTGATTTGCTTTTGACAACTTTTTTTTTTCTGTGTTCCCTCATGGTCTTCTAAACAATTGTGTCAAATGAATTCATAATATAAGGTATTGTTACGAAATTGATGTTTGTGGAAGTAAAAACTAACAGTAAGCATGTAGTGTGATATCAGCATCTTTTTGTAAAAATGGATGTTTAGTATGTTGTGCATGGTCAAAGGTGATATAGAAAATAATTTTATAAGGAACTATTCAGATAAGGTAGACTTTCCTTGTTGAGTTTGAACTCATTCTTTCAACAAAACATGCTCTGCAATGAATGCATAAAGGACATTTGGAAATTTTTAGTTACAAGTTTTGATAACAGTATGAATTCAAACTCAAAAAAGAAAGGCTTTAGTATTTCAGAGGTAAGCACCTGCTTGAAATTCATTTTAATTCTGAAAATGTAACATTTTTTTATTGATGAAAAGACTTGTTTGATTAGGTACATAATCCTAGCATAGGCAGACCTGAATTAGTATCAAACAGACTTATATGCACAGTACCATGTGTTATGATAATTAAACTGTACACTTGAGTAGTAAAAAAAGTTCTGTAGAAAATAGTTTTTGAAAGAATTATTCATTTGTTATGGAAGCCTTCTAACAGTAACATATATGAGGCTAGTCAACAAACAGAAAAAACAGTGTATCGCTCAGTAACTTTGTGTATTCCCAATTTTCAACCATTGATATGGAAAACCACTTTCTACATGTAAAATATTTAAATAAATATTTTAATTGATTTAGAAAATGTGCTTTAAAATACAACATCACCTGCTTGCTTGCACATATGTTTACCATCCTTTTTTCATGTTTTGTTTGTAAATAGCAAACTATGGTGAATAAGTACTGTAGATTTGTGTATGAGTAATAGTGGGATAAGTCAGATACTGCTTAGGACAGTTTTAGTAAATATCAACAAATGATAAATAATGTTATTCCTTATATAGATTGTAGTTCCACCTTTACCAGGCAAAGCTTGGAAAAGGCAACTTCCATTCAGAGGCGATGAAGGGATCTTTGATGAAGAATTCATTGAAGAAAGGAAAAAAGGACTTGAAATGTTTATAAACAAGTAAGATTTATAAAGAACTTTAAATCCTTAAGCAGAAAAGTGCATAGTTTGCTTTAAAATGGCATTGCTAAAAATGATGATGATGCAGCCTAGTTTCAAGTGAATTAAATAGTAAGATCATTAGTGAAATTTCTGTCTTTTAAACAAGAACAATGAGGATGTTCCAGCATCTACTAAACAAATAATCTGATAAGATCACTTAGCAATATATCTTTATTGTTTAGTACCAGAAAGGACATTTTAATAGCTGTACCACTGCCATCTGTGCCAAATATTATGATAATATATCATCAGCTAATATTTCTTTATTTGTCAAACTAACAAATCTATACAATTATCATCATGAACCAAATGTTTTGGCTAAAACCTCTTTGTTGTCATTAGCAGAAGCAAAAACTATGGTAATACTTTTAAATGAATTTCTTTTTGTTATATCTAACAAGTTTTATAATTGTCATCATTTAAACTGTAAATGAATTTGAAATGAACTCTTATAGAGGATGCTTATTTTATTTTGTCCTTTTTTAGAGTTGCTGGTCATCCATTGGCACAGAACGAGCGCTGTCTACATATGTTTCTTCAGGATCCAGAGATTGACAGGAATTACGTGCCAGGCAAGATAAGAAACTCATGAGGGGAAGCCAGCTTATTGAACTAGCTGGTCTATTTAATCATAACACCATATTTGTCTGAAGTGGACAAATCCATGACTTGTTAGGAAATTCCTCTTTGGTTCATCATCCTGTGCTTTCTAACTTTACAGTTGTTGTTGTTAACATTGTTTGCAACTGTCAAAAGTAATGTTGAAGAAATATTTGAATTCTTAACGTGCAAGTCAAGAATTATTCATATTCACACACGTATATATATTTATATATACAGGTTGCCCAGTGGCAATAGATCCTATGAATTAGAAAGTTTATAATTTGCATGCGTGTTCTTAGTCTTGCTTTTTTTGTAAATTTTGTTTAAAGTTTTATAATTGGATTAAAAAACAACAACAAAAGTTTACAAATAAATGCAAGTCCTCACAACAAACAAAAGTTTATATAATTTTATGGTTATGTTTTGTATCTGTGACCTTTAATATATTCCTCCCATTTATTTCCATTATTGTATAATAAAACCATGTGCATAGTCTGTATTTAGAAGAAAAGACAGAAGCTGTTAGTAATTTTTAGAAAACTATACTTCTAATATTTTTACTTTTATTTTTCTTCTCTCAAATCATAATAAGTTGGATTTTAATGCTGTGTGTCAGGTAATAGAAATTTATTTGGAAGGATTTATTTAGAAGAAAAGACAGAAGCTGTTAGTATGTTTTAGAAAAGTAAAGTATAGTTTTAATATTTTACTTTTTTTTCCTGCTCTCAAAGCATAATAAATTGAATTTTAATGCTGTGTATCAGGTAATAGAAATTTGTTTGGTAGAATTTATCTCATTGTCTTAAAAAAGTGTACATTTGCACCCAAAATATCTAAGATAAATAAATTATACATGAGTTTTGCTTATACTATATTGAAATATGGTTTCTTTTTTACAACCTGTTAATTTGACAACTACCAAATTCCATGGTCATTACCTGGAGGTAAGGTCAAGACCAGTGATTAAATATTACTTCAATAAAGAAAGTTGCAAGTTAATGGTTAAAGATCATTACTTAAAGGCTGAAAATCAGAAGCAATGAGAAATGGGCAGGCACACTATGTAAGTACTTAAATAATCAGACTTACTGTCCATAATTTTATTTTTTGGGAAACTAGAAAATTAGTATTGATAAAATTCAACTGATATAGAGGTGGATAAGATACTTTAACTGTATCTAAACATCTTATTTCTCACACTATTAATTTTTCTTGCATATATTTTTTAACTAACTGTTCAAATGAAATTGCATTCACACACTGTACTAAGAGATGATGTTCATTAGAGGTTAGTGTCCAAGTAGTAGAATGATTAATAAAACCGAGATAGGTAAACTGATTGACAAAAGGATTGTGGCTAAAATATAAGAATCTGCAGAATAACTTTGATCTTCACCCGAGACTTAATGGGGATTTATTGAGTGAAATTCTAACCATATCTTCTCTTTTCTGTAGTCTTATAAGTTATATTTATAGTATCAGGTTTTGAAACAGTGGATTTTTACACTTATTTCAGTGAGCTTGTACACAGAGGTTTTCTCTAGTTAAAGCAATAATGAAGTATACCCGAGTAAAACAGTACTTTCACTACAAGATTCCCTGGACATAAAGCATGTAACTTGGGATGGACTTGTGAATAAAATGTGAAATGGTGCAGACAAAATTTCCATTCATATGGTAGGTATGTAAGGTCAATGTTGCAGTAGCAATAGAAAAATGTCAAAAAACAATAAAAGAGTAAAATTTACTTTCAACTCGGAAGGCATTGTAATGTACAAGGAGATAGTTTTAATAAAAACTATTAGAATAACTTTCTTACTTAAATACAAGTTCTTTAATGGAAAATTTTAATAGCTTTAAATTGTTTTTAAGGCACAGGCATGGAAAGCTGATAGATGTTACAGAAGTTTAATAAAAACTTGCCTTAATGATGAATTCTAGGTTTATGTTTTCATTTACCCAAAATTGTTTTCAAATACATAAGTACAAAATGCATAAATTGTGTGTTATTACTAAAGTTTATAGTTTTGAGTTAGGCTTAAAATTGGATATATAAATGAAAATATAACAAATTGATACAAGGTAATTTTTTACTGAGTTTCATTTATGTTTCCATGAAACGTACTGAACATGAATTATAGTATTTTTAAGTATTACATAACATTTTATAAGATTAGTATACTAAAATGTCAAATTTCCTCTGTTAGACTTCATATATTTCTTCTGTCACTGCTTACTTTTACATATTTTAGTTATTATTTCAGTATGTTTTATGAACATTAGGTCCCTTTTGCAGACAGTAGTTCTATTTTAAATGAATTATATTTTATTTCACACCTGATCAGTTCTTTTATTCTTTTTCATGTGCTTTCTTATTTGCACATTCTGGTGATCTCATATTCTGTATGTCTGATGTTTTTATCTGATAGTGTAGTTGTGTTGTAAATATAGTGGTGTGTTCTGAACTTAACAAAAAACAAAATCTGTGTAGAATGTGGCAGTACTTTTTTGCTTCATGGAACTCACAGGATATTTCATACATCAATCTCAACTGATCTAATTCAGTTTTATCCTGATAAACATACAACATGGAATACATTTCTACAGTTGTAACCAAATTTATTTATTATAAGTTATTTTTGCACTTTTTTTTTTCTGTAACGTATGTGGACCAGAAGCACTCTTAGAGATGCGAATGTTTCAAAAAGTACCCAAGTTGATGTATGAGAGTAGTTGTGAAATTCTGCAGTAAATGAGATATCATGCAGTAGTCTAAAAATGTTGTAATAAAGTAAGACTTTCATGAAACTGCTGTTGTATCCGAAAAGGGATTTCCATCTTTTAAATGGAAGTTTCTTCTAGGCCTTTCTTGACACAATGACAGTAATGTGTATACATTAAACTGGAAATTATAACACTATCTTTAAAAATAAGCACTTTATTGTGAAATTCCCAAAAGGTTTAGCAGATTGTTTTGATCAGAGGATGTACCTATGACATAATTCAAAGTAGGAAAAATAAACTGTATTTAATAACTGCTTCACAACTTAACTAAGACAACACTTATGCACCTGCAAGCATGACAAATGTGCCTTGCACTATTGTATTTTGGACTGTTGTACTTCAGTCATTGGTACACACCTAATCTATTTCAAGAGTCCATCATCTGATGCAGGCCCATTGCCAAAAACGTTATTCACAAGAGTTTAACATATTTTTATTGTGTTTGATAGCAGGTATTAAATATACGTGTTTTATATTATACTTTAAACAATGGTTAAGAATACTCACCAACCCACATCATATACCAAAATAATAAATTTTTAGTTACTACAAAGAAGTGTATAATACAGTTGAAATGTGGTTCATTCTAATAGTATTTTTTTTTCAATATTTTCATGAGATAACTAATTTTGTGACTTGTCATTTATCACACACACACACACACACACACATATATATATATATGTGTGTGTGTGTGTAATTTTTTCGTTTGAAATAAACTACCACAATATAATCAATTCTTGTATTTTCATTGCAGATTTTTTTTTATGTAAAATAATCAAACAATTATATTACTTTATTATTACTTAACATTTTCTAAAAAGATAACACAAAATACGTTTCTCAAACATTTTTCCAAGTTGTATACATAAAGCCAAAACTTATAGAATTATAAAAAAACAAAAAGTGAATAAAATTGTTAAAATATTTTTATTTTTCAGAGAAAAAGTGTTAACAGATAGCATTCATTAAATACATATCTTGACCATACGTCATTTTAAAAGTTATTACAAATGTGAACAATAGATGGCGAAAAGTGTAAGAACATTTCAAGAGCTGGAGAACTTGTATAATACAATAATCGGAGTATGCAAAATATTTATTGTGTGAATGAAATAATAACATTTATTGTAGTTGATGTTTCAAATATCTTCCAAGAATTTTTGGCAAATATGTGAGATGTCTCGAGCGTTATTTTGTTATAAAATGTGGAGATTAAATCAACTTTTATTTATTAATACTTGGATGATGATTCCAACCCTATCATTTTAATTTTGGTATGCCTGAGGTTCACTGTGTACTTATATACGAATATAAATAAATATAGTTATATGTAATTGTTTGAAAAAAACGTTTATTATTACTATTATTATTTTATCGAACCGAACTTATCTTTATAATGGATAATATCAAACAAGATGGACTAGTCTCTTAATTAAATTTAAAAAGTAAAGATATGAATGCCCTGGATTTAAGTTATAAACAATTATATATATATTTTTTTCATAATTTATGTCGGGAGAAATGTTTGTAATAACCCTGAATCTGATAATGCTGTCGTGATGAGATTACAGTACAATCGAACGTCATTGTTTACAAACTTCTTGAATGTCACTGTGGCGTCAGTTGTAGTAGATGATCGTACAGTCTGTTAGTTCACTTGTTCCACTATGCAGCCGTAAACCTGTTTTAACGGTATGCAATATAAATAATTACCGGAACTTTGTCATAGGTATAGAGAATATGGAATATTGTTTTTAAACTGCATATTTTATACCATAATTGTTAAATATGGTATCATGTATCAATATTATCGGTTACTGCACTGATTCTAAGACTAAACTAATAAAACCAATATATATATATCAAGAAATAAGGGTAAAATATAACAATAGTATATTGAACCAATAAACTTGAGTCATAAAGAAGGATCTAACCCAAAAGCCTAACACGTGCCTTTGAAATATATATATAGTATTTTATATAGCAACATTAAAATTACTATCAGTACTACTGTTTTTAAACCAGGAAGACTCGATTCATTAATTTAGGACGTCAGTCAACGTTCGGACTTAGATGGATGAATTTAAAAAAATAAATAAATAATGTTCTCGTAACCTTCCACACTGTACGGTTACGAAGCGTATCCTGCTGACAGATGCACACGTATGTAAGACACACAAAATATAAAATAGCAGTACATTAATAACTTATTTGTACAATTGGTATTCACAATACCTAATTTAAAACAATATAATTCAAATAAACAGCACAATTTAAACTTTGTTGCACAAAGAGGATTCATGTTGTTAATGAAATGGTTGGATTAAGTATAAATGTTCTGGTAAAGCTTTAACTATTTTTAGGAACCTCGAGTTCCTTATACGATTTCCCTGTATTGAAAAAGACCATGATGTTTAGAGGCTACGTAGAAGATGATTGTTATTCATAATATTTAAGATAATATCACACAAATACCAATATTTAAATGTTGTGTATATAACAACAACAAAAAATGTTTAAAGGCCAGATATGCAATATGTACTATTCGAAACGTTTAAAAGGTATAAATGCAGTAAGCACTATTTACCAGTTTCTAAATTTACATATATCATAAGTGCTATTTATAATTTTTATGGGTTAGCCTTAAGTGGTTCCCTGGTGGGACAGCGGTAAGTCTATAGACTTACAACGCTAAAAACCGGGGTTTGATTCCCCACGGTGGACACAGCAGATAGCCCAATGTGGGTTTGCTTAAACAACAACAGTAGTAACATTAAGTGATAATTAATATGCTTAAAGTTCGTTCACATACTAGTCGCTATTTAACATGCTTAAATGGTTTACAAATATTAAGCGTTATTATGGAGTAAGTTTAAAAGTTATGTACACATTAAGCAATATTATGGAACAAGTGTAAAGGTTATGTACACATTAAGCGTTATTATGGAGCAAGTTTAAAAGTTGTGTGCACAGTAAGCAATATTATAGAACAAGTGTAAAGGTTATGTACACATTAAGCACTATTATGGAACATGTTTAAAGGTCAAATGTTTATATTAAGCACTATTTAGCTGAATGCAGATAT